CCCCCGGAGCAAGGACAGGGCCCTCGGTGAGACACAGACGGACCCTTCATTATAAATATTAAACATGCCGTCACTGGTGTGACAGATGGGGACTATCGTATCCTAACCTTGACTCCGTTTCAGCATCATCGCACAGTTCATCAGCCAATTCAAGCATTCCTTTGAGCTGCACCACGCCGAGTGCGAGGGAAACCCCACCACCAAAACACCACACACCCGGGCGACAGCTTTTAACCATGCGTGGCATCAGGTGGACGGTTTGTCATCCTCAGCATTCATCCAGAGCTCTTCAAGGGTAAGGAAACTTGAAGCGAGAACAGCTCCTCTCCTGGCTTGCTCCCAGCTGAGACCGCCTGGCTTCACGACGAAGGAGAAGGGGGGTCAGGCCATTTCAGCAGGGACAGGAGCCTAGCACGGATGAAGCCAGCCGGCCACAGAAGGGATGAGCAGGGGGATTGCTCCAGCCTCCTCCTACCACCTCTGAGGAGGGGAGCACCGGGCCGAAACAAGCACACACGGCAGTGGTCAGCACTGCAGGACCTGTGTCACTGGGAGAGCCAAAATCCCTGCTCAGCTTTGCATCTCATCCAGCCACACGTTCTCTTTCTCTGTCTTGGGTTTTTCCTCCCCGCTTTAAAATACAAACAGATCTGCAGGGCTGCAGCCCCATCAGGGCAAGCATCTGCCACGCACAGCAAATTGAAATAGCCGGCAGGGGATATCATTAAATATCAGCCAGCTTCTCAGCATCAAACCCACGCTGCAATCCAGCTGTTCGGGCAGCAATCAACCCAACGCAGCCCCATCAAAGACCCAACGCAGCCCCATCAAAGACCCAACGCAGCCTCCCATTAACACTACAGGCTCCTGCTGACATGGAGGCAGCCCCCACCTGTGCCGAAAGGGCCAGAGGTGACCTGTCGAGGCACTGCCCCTGCTCAGGGCACCCACATGTTGACGGGGGCACTCAGGGAGCAAAGTCTATGCCACCTCTGCCCACTCTCTGGGAGGTTCCAGCTTACTGCTGAAGTGAGAAGACACAGCAGCTCCACTGAGGATGACTGCTGCATCTAAAACCAATGTGCTGGGAGTCCTCACCAGGTCCCAGCAATGGCAATAAACACCATGGCGGATGCATGCTGGCTTTGAAAGGAGGCAGTGGACCCACACCTCTAAATCTTGCCTGATGAGCAGCAGATCCTTTTGCTCAGAGGGGGTCAGTACAAAGAAAAACCTCCTGGACAAACAATCTGCAGCCGGGGTTTTAGTTTAGGTTGCCATTATCCTGGTGAGGGCAGTTAAAACAAAAAAAAACAAAAAACAAAAAAAACAAACCAGTGCACTCAGCATTTGTTTTGTTTTTGCAAAGACAGAGAGAGAAGTTACTTGTCTGGGGTGAGAGAAAAAAGATGTTGGGGGCGTGGGACCACATCCTGGTCCTGGCAAATGGGTCCAGCTTCTCGCAATTTATCACTTTCAGTTTTGCAGATCCACCCCCATGGAGGCAGTAATTGCTCTGCTGATAGTAAACTGAGGCACGGAGAGTTACTGGCCAAAAGAAATCAGTGCTGGGCCAGATTGGGGTGCACACAACCAGCACTCCTCCTGCAAGGCAGGGTGATGGTCACCCAGCCTGGAGGGACAGGGGGATCCCCTCTGAGGACAGACCAAAGGGAAGCGGCAAAAGCAGCTCCCAAGGTCACCCTGTTGCAAGCACCGTCAGAGCAGCCCCGTGGCTCACATCCTCCGCAGCCGGGGGTTCAGCTGACACCCCTACGCCAACTGTCCCCAAGCCATGGGGACAGCACCAACCCAACGCAGCGGCTGGTCATGCCACGCTCCTTAAAGCACGTCTGGGCACTGAGTAAAGATTGCAAAAGCCTCTCCCAGTCAAGCTGACCAGCTGGGGAAGGCCGTAAGGAAGTTCTGGCTACTTTTTCCTTCAAAGGGATGATGTGACGGACCAGGTTTGGGGATGACTGACAGTCCCTAGCAGGTCACAGGGAACCTGTCTGTCCCTGTCCCCACCCCAGGGTCAGGCCAGAAGACTGGAGATCTCAAAAGAGCAAAACGATTCATTACTTTGGCAGGCACAAGCTCCAAATAAATGTTTTTATAAAGCCAGGACTGTAACAACCTGTATTTCTAGACCCACCAAAAGCTCTACAATGCTTATCCCTACAGAAATCCAGCTGTCTCCAGAGGGAAACAAGAGCAGAGCCCAGCGGGACAGGCAAAACAACAGCCTCCACTGAGGCCTCAACCCTGAGCTGGGTTTCTGGGTGCTCTTGAAATAGAAACTGGAGCAAGACACGCTGGGAGAGCTGGGCAAGCCATCCTCCAGGCAGAGGATTCGGCGACCTCTTTAATGCCCAGGCAAAGCAGAAAGGACTTCGGTCCGCCTGGGCTCCTGATTTAGCAGCGAACGAAACCGCTCGTGGCATGCCGGATCCAAGGAAATGAAAAACCATCAGAGGTTTGATGTAAAGGTGTTTCATGGAGCAGGCCTCGCGTTTTACTCCCAGGTCAAGCAAGAAAGACTATTGAGGCACCAGGCAAGCCTGAGTCTCGTGGATGGATGGGGTTTGAGCAGGTTTTGGACAGTAATTCTTTCTAACACAGCAGATTTTGAAACACTGGAGGGTGAAGTGCCGAAGTCAGCAACAGATGGAAATGGTGTAAAAAGAGAGTGGAGCAAAATTTGAGAGACAGGAAGGAAGAGAAACACCCAAAGGTAAAGCTACTGGCTCCAGAAGAGTTGGGATGGATCTGGATGCAGATATCCGACTTCCGCACCATCAGACGAGGATAAGCCTTGGGGGCTGCTTGTGCCTGCAGAAGCCCCTGCTGGAGGCTATGTCAGGGCCTCTTGACCAGGCTGGGTACGAGCACTTTCGGAGCCTGCGTGCACCCCTCTTGCTGCCGAGAGGCCACGTCGCTCCATTTGCCTGGATTTTACAGAAATCAGGGAAGGGGTCTCGGTGCCCAACCGGTCTGTGCACAGCCTCATTCCCATCTTGCCAACAGACAAGGACAGGGAGGGCTCCAGCACCCTTGGACAGTAAAGGAGCAGAGAAAACCCACAACTCACAGCTCAGAAATGAACTTTGTGGGTAAACGAAGCTGATAACTTCCTGCCTGCAGATCCCAGGGTGCCTGCAGGTGACAGGAGATATGGCCCCTGACCAGCAGCAAAGCAAGGACAGCTCGTAAATCGGACTTGGATGTAGATGCAGCCCATGGGTAACGGCTGCCAACACATCTCCCCTCTGTCCCACACTGCTCAGCTGGGGAAGGATGCCGGCAGCCAGATGAAGGTGGCCACCCAGTTTACCTCCTCCTTCTGCTGCTCCACACACCAGCCCTGTCTGTATCCCCCCAGTCCTGCCCCTACCCCTTCCCAGGCCGGGCACTGGGATTATACCCAGCGCCATGGGGAACAAGAGCATCAGCTCAGTCCTGTCCTCTCGCCCCAAATGCCCCCCAACTTCAGCAACCACAGGTCAAACCTGCCACCCCCAAACCCCCCAAAATGGAGGAGGGCCCCAGAATATTAAGGTCACACCAGCCCAGACCCACTTTGAGCTGCCTTGCTGAGGGGCCACAGGGATTTGTCACCTCCCTGCTCACCCTTTTGGGGGTGTTGGGCTCCCCAGATATGGGGGACTCGGTCCCACTGGGTTGGGGCTCAAGCTCTCCTCTCCTCCTCATCCACAGGGACAGCAGCAATGAAGAACCCCTCATGGGCTTGGTTAGGGGGTGAGAGCTGGGGGTCACCCCTGGGAGGGGGCCACATACAGCCCACCCAGGTGCTCTCTGCAGTCTTCAGCAGGGACATCAGCACTTCCCAAAAGGACTCATCCTCTCCTACAGCCCTGTGGATGTTGCGGTGTGGGTCAACCTGTCCTCAAGAGTTTTTTTTGGGGGGGGTCACTGCAGTCAGCAGGGTTGGGGGGGGCCACCTTGCCCCCACAAGGTTCAGCAGAATTTGAGAGCTCACCCCTTTCTACACGGCCTAGGGCGTGGGGGAGGGGGGGGGGGCACCCCTAACCACTGAGTTTCTGGAAAACCACCCCTTCCCCATGGGATTTTGGGGGTGAGCCCCTCCTTGTAGGCATCAGGAAAGTTTGGGGGGATCACAGCAGTCTCTGAGGATTTGCAGGGCAGTCCTGTTTCAGGGGGCACCCCTTCCCCACAGGATGGGGAGCGGGGGGGTACCCCTTCCCTGCAGGGGTCAACAAGGTGATTTAGCAGGGGGGGGGGGGGGTCTCCCCTGTCTGTAACGTTTGAAGGGAACACCCCTTCCCAAAAGGGTCGGGGGAAGATGACGACTGGGGGGGGGGGTCACCCCTGCCTGCAGGGCTTGGGGGGCTTCCCTTCCTCACAGGGGTCAGGAAGGGGATGGGGGAGGGTCACCCCTGTCTGCAAGGCTTGAGGGGGGGGATAGCCCCCCCAGGCTGGACCCCGGGCAGGGATCCCCGCCAGGATACAAGCCTACGCACATGCTTAAGAAGCTGAAGAAGAGCA